GGGTTATAATTATAGCTACCTTATTTATAACCCTAAACCCTAAACCCTGAACCCCTAATTATAACCCTATTTACCAAGTCCCATGATCCTCCAAGTAGGGCTTTCGGGATCTCGGGCTTCCGGTTTCGGAGATTCACTCGGGCAAACAAGGCTTTGGTCTACTGGGGATTCACGGCGGAGGGTTGGGGATTAATGCATTCGCTTCGGGCTTAGGGTTCGCGCGTTCCGTGTTTTGTTACATCGGCTTGAAGTTTTGCCAGAAGGCTATGACGGTTATTGCTGGTGTCCTGCATTGCGGGTTGAAGTTTTGCATGTGGGGATTCGAGACTTTGATGATGTGGCGCAGTCGCAGCCACATTAAGAATCCGAGAAGGCATCGCGGTTGGTGCAGTGCATTCTTGCTGCCAGCCGGCCTTTGGTGAGGAGGAGCTGAGGTCAACCCTAAACCTGCTTCAGTCCGAACGCCTTAGAAATCTACGGACTTGTCATAGTCAGGGAACCAACCAATCAGGCTTTCGTAGGCGCCACAGAAACAAATCCTCCGGACGCTGGGTCCGCACTGGGGCTTGAAGTTAAATATGAACGCCATCCTCAAAACAACAGTAGGCATATCAATAAAAATATACTCATGGTTATATTGATATTAAGGTAATGGTCATGACTTGCACAATCATAGCTATGATGGTAATGGTGGTGCGTGGGATGAGGGAAAGACTCCGAACGGCAAAATGCGCAAAGCATTGGCTTTTGTACCTGGGTTGGATCTGTAAGTCTGGGGGGCGAGCTCATTCGTCACCTCGATGTCGTACCACATAACACCGTCCACCTGCTGCGACGAAGGTGACTGAATGTGTGATGATAACTGACTGAATACTAGTTGGGAGTTTCCGAAAATTAGGGTACCTTATTTTGGGGTCCATATAATAAGGATCCTACTATTTAGGGTACTGTATTAGGGTCCCCTATTTTCGGAAACCCCCAGTTCGCAACAATGATATCTAAACGTTGCCCTGCTCTGGCCTCGTCATGGCCGGAGATCTGAATCTTTACCACCATCCCTACAAAGACACTCTGTGCGACGGAAAAGCCAACAAGTTTCAAAGCCTCTTTCTTCATGAAAAGGCTTGTGCACTGAGCCATGAAATCTGTTGGGCAACCCTTTACAAGGGCTGCTTGAAAAACTGAAACTTTGCTCTAAAGATGCCTGTCGCCGGCCCTCTTTGGGGTCCCACTTAGAGCCAGAATGCCTTGTCCAGTCGTAGTGCTGGGTGTCAGGTTTCAGAATCTGTGAGTGCAACAGCTCTTGTGAACGCATCTTCAAACTCGATGAGAGAGGACGAGAGCCTGTGGTAAGCTCCCGGAAAGCTCACTGTACAGCTCCAAGCAGGACTGCGTCCTGAAAAGATCTGTGCATACAGCCACTGGCCCTCCATTGGAAAGTCAACGATGAGGCACCCATGGCGTGTACGCAGAGAGATAAACTAAAGTTCGTGTCTGCGGGACTGGTTCACCAGGCGCAGCTCCGAGAAGACCTTGCAAAGGCCTTCAACGTCTACATGTTCGGCGCGTCGAACGCGCGCCCAGGGGCCTGGCTGAGAGACACACGAACTGCCCAAAAGATTCGAAGCAGTTAGTCAGTGTTCCGAAAACGATCGGAACGACCCACTGGCTGTCCGACCTCCGCCGCTGGCCACGGGGACGTGGACACCTGCGAAGGCCAGGGATCCTGCCTCAGCAAACAGGTTTACTCCTGACAAGGATTCGAAGCGGGCGAGCAGACTTAGAATCTTCACAAGCCGGACCGGAACAGTGGAAATGATACTGACATTGGTAGGGATCGTCACCACGATCCTCGGCAGCAGCTGCGCGTGCATCAGCATCGTCATCACCACGGTCACCACACATGAGCAACTACCATCATCCTCATTCACGCCATCACAAGGAACAGCCCAACAGCCCTTTCGCAGCTTGGGCCAGCGCTGGGTTTCGGCCAGTGAAGGCCAGGAATTCATTGCTTGTGCTGGGGGCCATCCTGTCCCAGAGCAGATGGCTTGGGACTCAGGGGGCCGGGAGTTGCAGAGGTGTTGGACTTTATCAGGATTCAGGGTTCCAGGAGGGCTATTCATGGCTGGCTTCCAACCAGATGCAAGATCCTGACAACGAAAGCAGCAACAATGACACCTGGCCAAAACGCAATGGCACCAACCTCGACCGAGGGATCAAGAACAGTTAAGTACATCTTCTAGCGCTCAGACTGACTATTAGCAACCTGTTCAGGCCTTGGGCAGGCTGCGGAGGCCCTGCTGCATCAGCAGCAGCAGCGACAACTTCGGCAACGGACACCGACACCTGCTTCAGGGGGGCTTCTGTTCAGGCTTCGTCACAGACAGATGCGGGCCTTGGAGACTGGCTGCAACGCTTCGGGTGAAGCTTCAGTATATAGTCTCTCTCATGTTAAAATGTCACATGCGCAAGTTTGCTACAGTCTTCGGCCTCACGGCTCTAGATGAGTCAAATGTTCAGGCCCCGGAAGCGGCGTGCAACTCTCAGCACGTGGCTCCGGCGTGGTTGTGGCAACAGCTACTGACATGCACCCTTGCATCGCCAATCGGAAAACCAGACTGACTGTGGGAAATGACTGGTGGATACCTCAAAGTCGTGAAGTCCACAGTGAATGTTCCCCGTCTCCCTCGCGCTCTCCCTCTTGTCTGTCTTCTTCACAAAAAAGCAGAGGGGCCCCCCTACCTCTCGCACGTACACCTGCCCTGGTCCCCCCCCCCCCGGCACCCCTCGCTCGCTCGCTGGCTCACTCTCTCTCCCAACACTTGAACCCCCTTGAAGTAACACTAAGTGAACCACCCCCCGGCCTCATCCAAACTGCAGGCGAAAACTCTCTCTCTTTCTCTCTCTTTCTTTCACCAAGGCTGTGGTTCTCTCTCTCTCCCTCTCTCCGAACGTTTTACATATACATACAGACAGGCAGACAGACAGGCAGACACACAAACAGACAGACGGATGGACGGACGGACAGACAAACCGACATACAGCCATGGTTGCGTGCATACATATGCGAACAATTATTTTTGTCTCCGGCTATCTGCCTATCTTCTTATTCTGCGATCCCGCTATCTGCCCATCCATCAATCTATCTAATCTACCTGTCTACCCAGCCCTATAGCTATCTATCTGTCCATCTGCTTATCTACCCATCTACCGCCCCATCTACCTACCTGCCTACAGGTTTATCTATCTGTTCTCTGTCTTTCAACCTATCTATGTATGCTTGCATGTGTATACATGTGTTTGTGTATGGGTCCGGTATGCATGCATGTATGCATGCGCATGTAGTTGTACACATGCTTATGTATGCGTATGTATGTCATCGTATATGTTGTATGCACATGTGGGTATATGCATGCCTATGTAGGCACGTTTACGTGTGTATACATATATTTATATATACATATATATAT